GAAAAGTTCGTTTTTCTCGAAAATAAAAACATATTTGAGGAACAAAATACACAGTCTTTCTTGTCTTATTAGGTTCTACTTGTGTGCAAAACTTGAGACAATTTGAATTTTTGACCCTTGCCATAAAAATTTGTGCACAGATGTCCTCTTAAGTACTTTGTTGTTCAGATCCCAAGTGCTTGGTTTAGCGCTCCAACAACAGCTGTTTGATCTCCCAAGGTCAACCAGCTGGCATGCCCACCCATATCTGTCAGAAGTGAATATATAGGCATATTCTTTAGATTTTACTTAGAAGAGACTGGGGAGAAGAGACTGGGGAGAAGAGAGTGGGGAGAAGAGAGAAAAGAGAAGAGAGAAAATAGAGAGAAGAGAAGACTAGAAGAATGTATACAGAGTGCAGTAGAGTAGAGTCAGAATTCTGCAGTTGAAGGAGAAGTATCCCGTAAGAATCAAAAGTGTGAGAGTCTGAGAGATTAACAAGAGTTACACAGAATGAAATAAGCTTGAATGTAAGTGGAATTGTGTAATGGAAAACCTAGTAACTATATAGAAAACCCAAAGACTGCAGCGCTAAAAGAGTCTTTAGTCAAGAGTCTCCTGCCACTGGCGGGAAAAGTTTGCCTATTAGCATTATTTTACTTAAGATATGAAATACTTTATTTTGTTATAGAAAATACCAACCGACTTTTTCAAACGAGGTAGCTTGATATTCTGACATGTCCAATCCGTTGATCAAGGCTGTTGTGACTACTCTTATTCAAGTGGTGCTAATCTTCGATCATCACAACGTTCAAGCAGAATTTAGTGACACTTGTGACAACTCCGCTAGTTCACTCTCATGCATCCATACATATGAGCAGCTTTATCACAGCCTAACAAAGTCAGATAACAGCTTTAGCATTGAGTCTGCCTTATATCCAGCTAAGAAACCCTCTTCTGTTCGTGTGTTTGTGAATTTATATGGTCCCAAGAAAACAGGTTCACCCATTGCAAGGTACACTTGGAGCTTATCTTGTCTGTATGTTGCTATTCCTGATTTCTTCTTGGAGATTGTGTCACTTGGATCAATCCTTGTCAGACATCGGACAAAAGAATTGAACTTAAAAATCCCAAATTTTTGTTGCAATGTGTCGAAAACAGGGGATGAAAGAAGGAAGACGATAAACGATATGATTGAAAGTGTCCTCTCTGCGGTATGTACATTTTTTTTTCATCTCTAAGAAAACCTGACTCAAAACTGCTTAACTTAAGCTGGAATGAGTATTCGTAATCTTCTGAGAATAAGCCTTTATCAGAAGCAATACTCTCTGCGACAAACGCAATCGCGAATCGCAGTTCTCTCCGTTAGAACAAGTATCGAAATGATACTAAATAATCTAAAACCGTTAATAAAACTCTTACATGGGTCAGGAATACCTATCAGTGTAGCTCGTAACCGTTGAAACTGATCGCCAAGCAGTTAGGTTGCTAAGGTTACTGAGGCTGCCATATTAGATGCATTATTTGATGAATCTTTGTTGGTGCTCATTCAGCTTCAAGATCTGGCCATTTCACCAGGGATAAGAGATCCACGACTGAACAATGCAGAGTGTGTTATCGAGGGCCATGGTATAGATATGGAAGCTACTGGACGCTGGATCGAAATCAGAATAATGATATGGGGTTCTTTTTTTTTCACCTGTGCAGCTTACAAACCACTCTGTACGATAGTGAGAGGATTTGTGAGTCGTTTGAGGAACAGAAGTAGCTCTTTGCAATATTTAAGTATCTTGTTGGCAATACTTGGTTTATGTAAATGGATGATACTTGTAATTTTTTTGATTTATCGCACTGTCAGAGACGGACCACTTTACGTGGATATCTCACTTATTTTGATTCCCGTTTTGTATTTTACTAAAATAGGGAAGGAAATCTGGTATATTTATAGGATCTCTGAGCTGAGGTACATCAGCCTTATATGGTATGACCAATTTGTTGGACCTTTTGTTATTTATACCAGTTTCTGCTTCTGTTGGATGCTCATCGGCATAATACTTAACCCAGTTTGGGGTGTGATAGTTGCACTAATAGTATGTTTTGTTGTTACTTTCTTAAATTATGTGGTCGACAGGTGCATAAACGTTAGGCAAACAGGATTGGAAGTAAGATTTCACACAACCTTTCGAAGATTGTTCGTACTTGCTTCTCTGGCTCTCACATTTCTAATAATTGTTGTAATTTTTGCCGGACAATCGTTTAATGGAAGAGAAACCGCAGGTGACTTAATCAACACCGTGCTGTTTACTGCTCTTTCTGCTGTTTTTTCGTGGTTGTCATGGAAGAGGCTTTGGCAGCCAACAGGTAAACCGCAGCCACTTTCCAGAGGAATATCTACCCACGACTCAACCCGAGAAATCATGGGGGAAAGCCAGCTTCCATCACATTATTCCGATGTGCCAGCGAATGATCAAAACCATTCAACTGGTTCCTTAACCAGACAAATAACCTACGTGTAAGAATACAAATTTTTTTTGGCTCCAAATTCTGTATCAAAATAGAACACACAATTTTCTCTTGGAATTTTTCCTTTTTAACTCGTGCAAACGAGTTTTTAAGGGGACTCCGGAATGCAAATGAGTCACTCACTAAGATGTAGACGCTGTGGTAATTAGTCGTACCCAACTCGCCCGAGCCCAAAACCATGTTGAAGTAATAACCGCGCGATTAAACTATATAGGGAAACTTTGTTAAAGTTCATACTGGGAATGGCTGCTTTAAATACCATCTTCCAAGTGATGAAGTAAAATGTACATTATGATAAAATATTTTACGGACTAAAATCCTGTATTTGGGAGATTAAAATCCTCCCCCTTCGTACTTTGTTGGCGACAACTGAATCCACTTTTGTTCCCCCAAAAACCATATGATCCCCCCCTTCCTCCGTGACAAATAATGATTGGTCCTCATAAAAGTTTTCAGGAAACCGGAAAAGCTAGTTTGATGTTTTACTATTTTGTGCAGTTGAGCAATTGTAGCGAGAAGCTAATTTTAGATCTGAGGAAATTTTGTATTCTCAGTCAGGGAGGATGTCCCTTTTTGATATTGCTGTTCTTGGAGTTTTATATTCTGGAAGTCAACTGTTTGCGTTTTTTAAGCAACTTACCTAAAATAAGCTAGAAGAAGACTTTAGGTTAAGTAGTGGAACAATTGTAGCGAGAAGCTAATTTTAGATCTGAGGAAATTTTATATTCTCAGTCGGGGAAAATGCCCTTTATTGATATTGCTGTTCTTATAATTTTATATCCTGGAACTCAATTGTTCTATTTTTTGATAAGTAAGTAACCTAAAATAATCTAGAAGAGATCAATTTGAACTACTGCGAGCTTTTACAATATATACATTATATTTGATTTTCTTTGTTTTGTATGAATGTAATTACATAACATTAGGATATGTAAATATACTGGCAACCAGCGCAAACTGGAAAACTAACAATAAATTAACATCACGTAAGTCCAACAAAACACTGCTTAATGAAGAAAAATAGCAAGAACAACATCAAGCAATCAAGTAGAAGCTGCCGAGATGCTGGAGGCTTATTTTGTCGAACTGAAATTGGCCCAAGCCTAATTAAAGATGTAACAAATGTCGACATACCCTTCTTAAATTTTCTTTGAGTAACTTCTAAAGAGTTCGTCTTCTAAGAAATTTCTTTTACGCAAGTTCTGTTTCTCTTTTTCAAACTATGTTGATCAAAAGCGACTGGATTAGACAGCATCTCGGCAAAATTGCTCGGAGACTGCTTAGATTTAGTCGCTAAATCGCTTACATTAATATTTAACCAATCATTATTAAGTGGAACTGTTCCCCAGGAGTGGAACTCCATTGCGTAAAAATTCTGGAGAACGAAATGACCCCACGAATTATCTACCAACTTCGGTAAACCCCACCGTGGCGAAAGTATTCGAAGGCTAGAATCATTATGATCAACTCTATCAATATCTAACCAAAAATCATCTTCTTTCCCGTTACCAATCTGGTTTTCGTTCTTCATATTTAATGTAACCGCTTTGCTTGAGGCTACGGGCAATGAACATTGATCGCGGTCACGTCAATGCCACTGTTTTCTTAGACTTGAAAAAAGCTGTTGGCACCGTTAACCATATATTGCTTACTTTTTTCAAAACCTAGTCTGTATGCTGACGACACTAGTTTAAACCATGCAAATGGAGACTTACAGCGTATTGATGATGGACGATTTCAATATAGGATCCACCTATGGCTAGCTGATAATAAACTCACCCTTAACTTAACAAAAACCGAATTCATGTTACTTGCATCGAGGCTTGGGCTATCAACTATCTCTGAAATACTGTATTTCATGATACATGACCATCCAGTGATGCAGGTTCCTTCCACGAAATCGCTGTGCGTGGGTACATATTGATCAAAACTTAAACTGAAATTATCATATACAGAGCGTTTGTAAATATATTGCCTCTGCCTTATGTGCCTTATGCCCCTAATCTCGGAATCAAGGCCAGACCACAGCGGCGGAAGCTACGTTCCTTACTCTTTGCGAGAAGTGCGTGGGCTCTTTAACTTCCCCTCCTAACTAGTACCGAGGAGATGCGGTAGACGAAGCCTGCGGTTTATCGTCTTTATCCGAGAAGACTTGGATATTTAACCATTGCAGATGTCATGGAAAAGGCGGTACATTCTCCTCAGTTATTTTAAGAAGCCGAGTATTGGTCCGGTCTTTCAAATGTTTATCGGAAAAGACACATCGATGGTCAAAGATTTTATATCGTTTCTGACACTCACAGAATTAAGTAACAATGCTCGAACAGTGCGAGATGAGCATGAAGCGACAAACTTCAGCAGAATACTTAAAAACCGAAGGCAATATTACTCTATTCTCTGACCGTTTTGCGGCTCGGTAACTAACCACCACTGGCCTCTTCAGTGAATAGTGGTTAAATTGTCAGATATAATCAAGGTTCACAACGTCTAATGAAATTTAAGAAATAAGAAATACACATTGATAAGATAATAGTAATCGATAGATAGAGAAGTGATAAGCAGTTTAAATATAACCTGCGACTGAAATCTTGAATTACACGATTATTAGAAAGGATAATATCAATAACACCATTGAAAAGAACTATTAGCGGTTTAAAGCAGGTTTAAATAAAAAATTTGTTTGCTTGAGGTTATGTTTTTAAATAAAATGTCTATTAAATATAAATCTCCAATAAAATGATATAGGCTTTAAGGGCATTAAAAGTGATAAAACTGTCACGAAACCTTTATGTCATGAACACGGGCCTACACTTCCGTTTGTCTCCAAGGTTCAAAGTACTTGTGTTAATCAGTGCATCAATAAAATTAATTGTAGTATATTAAAGTTAAAGCTATAAGCAAATGACGGCTATATGCCTCTTTAAGGAGGCTCCGTAAGGGTTTAACCGAGCGAGATAGGGACGCGAACATAGCGCGAGCTTTAAGAATGTCAACAGGCAAAACGAAACCTGGCAGCTCGATACGATCGCACGATTGTTATTTCAAAAGGTGTATAAGTAAATGCGGCTTTCATAAATGGTTTGCGGTTTTTCACCGTGGCAAATAACACTTTCAAAAGAGAATATAATCGTTTGTCTCACGATGTGGTCACTTCTAATGTGAATCACGACGTTTCGATTGCATACTTCTAGTCTTCTGGCGATGAAGTCGACTGAGTACCCGTCACCTATATTCTGTTGTGCTAAGCTTAGATTGGAGGCGGAAGGCCGAAAAAATCAAATATTTTCCATGAAAACACAACGCTGACGTGCGCATCGTAATCAGACTAAAACTTCATTGAGCCACCCTAAAAAGATAGGTTTTTCAGGAGGCGTTTGAAGGAGCTTATATTAGCGACGTTTCTAATATTTGCGCGTTAACTATTCCAAAGTTTGAATGCCGCGACGGCGAACGAGCAATCACTGAGAGTAACTAGAGTTGTAACGTTTGGCTGTTGAAAAAGAAATTTGTCCCGACTCATATTTCTTCTTTCACGCCTTCAAAGAAAGGATATATTGTTCTGTTTTTCGCGTCGAGTAAATTGTGAAAAGGTAACTAGAAATACAATTTTTTGAGACTGTCCATCGATTCTCGATATTCTTAAAAATATGCTCCTAAATGCCAGAAGGGAAAACGGCAAATGGCAAACGTGAAACAAATATCCACCGAGAAACTGTAGACTATATCTGCACATTATGCTATCCTAACAATGAACCACAATTAATCACATTCTAGTTAAGTCACTGCACTATATTCAATGATATGTGCGGAAACAAAAAAGGGCTGTGCTACAGTTAATCCTTTTGAATCCCT